TCCATAACCTATAACATTTCTTAACTAAGAAACATAAAAGGTATACAGGGTATTTCAGTTAAAACTTCTACCTAGGGGTAAATAGGTACAAAAGAAGCCAAAAAAAAAACGGTCCATTGAGTTGACATTAAGGAAAAAATTCTCTCAGAATTGGCATTGTGTGCAGGAATTCAAAATAAGTATTCACATATTTTAATGAATTCTGATTTTTGGTCCAAATGGTCGCTGTTTTTTAAAAAGTGAATCCATCTTTCTTCAACAGATTTACAATGCCATTCCTCGGATAGAAGATCTATATTGGTCGTCAAGAAATTTTTCAAATATATAAACTAGTCAAAGCAAGATTCTTCAAACTTCATCACCTGACATTGTAGTTTAATATTCAATTCAAAACCGACGAGCTTTGATTTCCTTGTTGCTTATCCGGCAATGCAGTAATGATGATTTACCCAAATCTGCATCCCTCATGTGCAGAGTCAACCGACTTAACTCCATTTTTTAAATTACGAACATATTTTTCCTGGTATACGCTTTAAAAATATCCTTGAATCTACACCTCTGTCTCAACCGTCTCGCCTGTCTCGATCTCGGAGATTTATCAGGACTTGCCTCACCTTACCGAGGAGGGGGTAGCAGCATCCCCAATGGAACTATTGTAAAACTAGCTGAAGAATAGGGCAAAAGAAACACAGTAGCAACCAGTCTCAGTCTAATGAAAACATAAATTAACATATTAATATGAAAATGATTTCTTTGGTATAATAGAAAACAAAATACGCTGTCGTCTCGCTGCGGAATCTCCCTAGGCTGCAAGGGTAGAATACTGCGATTGTCTACCGAAAATAGGGGAGTTTTGGAGGGAAAATGCAGAAATACGTTGTTTTGTGAGAAATCTTATGACGTAACTATACCTTCTGTAATCCAAAAATATACATACGAGGGATGTCTTTCAAGTTTTGCTTATCGAAATAAAACAACACGGTAGGTGGTTTTAAATGAATTTATTGTTTTTCGAAGTATTCTCCACGAAGATTAATACACATCTGCATGCGCTCGAACCAATATTCCACTCGTTTGCTGGGAGATCCAAAACGGCATTTTTGAATGCGTCAACTGCTTCTTCTGGTGACTGGAACCTTTGACCAAGCAGTCTGTTTTTGATTTTCGGGAAAGTAAAGAAATCGTTAGGACTTAGATCGGGACTATATGAAGGATGGTTCAATAATTTAACGTTTTCTTCCGAGTTTTTGGGGCTGTGTGCGAGCTTGCATTGTCTTCTTTCGGGGTTGATTTTTCGAAGCTCGGTGACGACTTTTGGCAAACAAATGGTGGTATACCAATCCGCAGTAACAGTTCTTTGCTCATTAAGAGAAATTGTTGCAATATGACCCGCTTTTGACACAAATGTCGCGACCATCTTTTTCGAAACACTTCGAGAACGGATGACTTTTGTTGGCTTTTCTTCACCTTGGAACACCCGAACAGCCGACTGCCGTTTATTTTCTGGTTCATAACAGTAAATCCACGATTCATCACCACTAACAATGCTGCACACATTTTTTGAGCTTTCGGAATTGAAACGGTCAAGCGTTTTTTGACACCAATTAACCCTGGCTGCTTTCTGCTCTTCAGTCAACAGGTTAGCCAACGAGAAACTAATTTTCTTACTCCTAATTCTTCATGTAAATTTTTTTGAATTGAGGTCTTTGAGATCTTCAAGGACGCCTCAATCTCGCGATATATCACATGTCATGCTAAGACTCGCCCATCCACGTTTGAATTCTCCATACCAACGGGAAATTGTCGACTGATGTGGCGCTTCGCTGCCGAAAACAGACAGTAACTCAGCAAGGCATTCTTGTTGCGATAATTGTCTCTGAAAGTTGTAATAAGTTATGGCGCGAAAATGTTCTCGGTTGAGTTCCATTTTTCTAATGACTTGGTGACACTTAAAAATTCACTGTAGTGAGAACACTGCACGTATTGTTGCGGAACTTTGAATTTAAGTTTATTAAAGAGTGAGGTTAAGATTCAGTACTGACGTTCGATCCGCGCGGCCTACTATGTTTCTATATGCAAAATTTAAAAGACATCCCTCGTAATAGTCTCTAGTTCTCATTCTTTGTTGTCAAATAGAAAGTTTTCCCATAAAAATTGGTGTACCCATTTTATGTGTCCATGTTTTGAATACCCCCTTGAACAACTTGCATCAATAAAACAAGACTTTACAATTATTTCGGGGAAATTTGCTAATATGATTAGACTATACTATATTCAAATCTATTTGGTTTTATAACGGGCAAATCTACAACAGATGGAGTATCAAGTATAGTAGATGAAATTACAAAAAAAAAATTGGATGGAAAAGAACCTTCGATATGCGTATTTGTGGAATTACAGAAAGCGTTTGACACAGTTAACCACAATATACTTTGAAATCTTAGAAAGAATAGATTTTCGTGGAAAGATGTATACTTTAATGGAAAATTGTTTATCAAATAGACGGCAATCAGTAAAATTATTATACTCATATAGTAAAGAAATGTTTGTTAAATGTGGTGTACCACAAGGTACTATTTTGGGTCCTCTGTTATTCAATATTTATTTAAACGATATACCTGTATTCAAAATTAATAGTACTGGTAAAATAGTCGGTTTTGCGGATGACACTGCTATACTCTATAAGGGTAAGGATTGGAGCGACTTAAAAGATGTTATCCAAAATGACTTTTGCAAAATTATTCAGTGGTTTAATAACCGAAAATTAACAATTAACTATACTAAAACTCATTTTTTTACCATTTTCATCACTATCTAATCATGTACCAAAATATAACCACCTTCGCTTTAAGGTAAATGATAAAAATCAATAAAGGCAATGATACAAAATATTTAGAAATTTATCTGGATCCCCACTTGAGATGGGATGTACATATTTCTTACATACTGAAGAAAATTAGATTCATAGCATATAAAATAAAATTTCTAACCGGTATATTAACTGAATATTATCTACGAATAATATATCAAGCTTTAGTGGAGCCGCACATAACATATGGTATAGTAGTATGGGGTTGCTGCATGCGCGACATACCTTAACGATTTAGATGTGCTTCAAAGAACAATTTTAAAATCAACGTTTGGAAAATCAAAATTATACCCAACTAATGACTTATATACTAAGTGACATATAAATCCGAACACCCAGTTTAAATGGTTTTATTTTAATAAAATTTTATATAAGTACTTAATGAAGCATAATAAGTAAATGATAAAAATTTCAAAATGATTGCACTGCTTTAAAGCCCTTTGAACTTTAATAATGTGTGGATGCACCCTGATGTGCTACGCATTCTCCAACGCGCCTAGGCATGCTTCTGATCAGGTGGTCAATGTCCTCCTGTGGTATCTCATTCCAGGCAACCACCAACTCCTCTCGAAGTGCTTCTAGAGTCTGAGGAGGACGTTGCAAATTGAGCAATCTCCTACCCATCATATCCCACACGTGCTCAATTGGGGATAAGTCGGGAGATCTTGGTGGCCATGGTAACAATGTGACATCATTATGTTGAAAGAAGTCTATTGTGACTCTTGCAACATATGGTCGGGCATTATCTTGTTGGAAAGTTGGATCTTCTAGGGTGTCAAGATAGGGTAAAAGATGGGGTTCTAGAACTTCGTGGATATTACGCTGCGCGTTCATGTTACCTCTGATGAAGATTAAAGGTGACCTGGAACCATAAGCTATAGCACCCCAAACCATAACTCCAACAGTGTGATGAACATATCTTTCAACAAAAAACTGTGGTTTCCTCCTTTCACCACGTCGCCTTCTAACCCTGGCACGACCATCGTGCATGCCTAAACAAAATCGAGACTCGTCATTAAAGACAATACTGTTCCATTTCTGATCCCAGAGTGACCGTTGTCTGCACCACTCAAGGCGATTACGTCGGTGTTCTCGAGTTAAAGGGAGGACCCAGTGTGGCCGGTATGAAAACAAGCCAAAAGTTCTCATTCGTCGGTAAACACTTCGCATGCCAATAGGTCTTCCGTGTTCTTCAAACCATTCATTTGCAATGGGCCTGGTAGTGGAGAAACGGTCCCTTAAGGCCAATAATCTTATGCGGCGATCTTCACGGTCTGTTGTTCTACGGCGGCGTCCAGTGCCCCTTGCTCTTTGCGTACGGCCTTCTCGAAGCCATGCCTGACAACACCTAACCACAGTGTCTACACTTCTTTGCACTCTAACTGCAATTGCCCGAAAAGAAAGTCCAGCTTCCCGAAGTCCCACTATACGGCCCCTATCAAACTCACTAAGTTGACGAAATCGTACAGGTCTCCGTACTCTAGGCATCGTAACCGATCGTAAAGGATGTCAAGAACCATTTTTAGAGCGTTAGTGAATTAAAAAAAAGCAGTATAAAAACCGGAATGTCCAACTGATAAGGCTGAAAATTTTTTCACTTGTTATTTACAGTAAGATAAATACATTCACCAACTTTTATTAAAATAAAACCATTTAAACTGGGTGTTCGGATTTATATGTCACTTAGTATATATTGATGGCCATATTACAAACCGCCTGTCAATGTGACAACATCTCTGCTAAGGCCCGTATCGTCAGTCGTCCCTACAATTGTAGGGCGCGTTTATGGCCTCCTTGATTGTCATACTCCTTTCTCTCCTTCAAAAATTTCTAGATTACAGTTGTCCCGTGTCAGCATCAGCGCTCTCCTATTGTGAAGCTATGTTTTCTTTTTAAACTGTAGGAAATTTCAGGCTGATAAAACCTGATATAACTCAAAAGCAAGCACAATTTGATGCAAATAGATGTTTGTGACATAACCTCAAAATAGAGTTCTGACACGGAGAAGTAGAAAACTATGACAATCAAGGAGGCCATAAAGGCGCCCTACAATTGTAGGGACGACTGACGATACGGGCCTAAGGGGGTTTATATTGAGTCAGTTTAATTGACTCGGTGTTTTTTGTTCCAGAGTTGGGAGCTGTTGGTCCTCTCCAAACTCCAGTGGAATGTTTCGGCAGTCACAGGTTTCGACTACATAGATCAAGTTATAGAAAGGTGTGGATGGGGCAGCGAAAGCAGTTTACTCAGAAGGCACGCTCACACGCTAGTTTCAATCTGCTATACCGGTAAGTCATTTGATAGTTCTGCATGTAAAAATATGTCATACAGAAGCTAAGACCAAATCAGTTGACATCAAAACCATTGTATACAGACCAGCCTAATATCATATCGGTTTCTGTTAACTTTCTGCGATCGTATCGTATATTCTACTTCTATACTATTGTTATTACCGACAATTTATGTTTTTATTGTTTTGTTTTAAGGCGCTTTCGTTTCCTGACAATTTTATTATTGTTTATTTCCGTTAAATGTAGCTGTACCATCGATAATGTTCAACAAAACGGAACAAATCATTTTATTTGGAAGATTAAATTTTATTTGGAAGCAGTTTTACTCAGGATTCAACTACCTACCAACCGTCTCAAAGCATTGAATAAGGTGACGATCTTAAAACCTAATCCGGCTCTGCGTCCCGATCTGGTCAAATGTGAACATGTACGATGCGCATCGGTACTCAATCCAAGTGCTGGCTACGTTGGTAAAAAACCATACAGTAATGTCGGAGTTGTCCATATTATTTTAATTTACAGTGAGGGCCTTCGAAATGCTATCGAGGCTTCGCGAGTGCATGCAGATCGTTTTTTCAAGATCCTTCGTGTTTTTTTTTTTTGTTTGGAGCGAAATAAAATGTTTATTGTATAAAACTCAACCAAAAGCCTTTGAATCTATCGCAGACAGTGAACAATACAAGCGGCAGAGCTGTACTTGAAGTTTCTTTTCAATGAACTGTATACTTTATCTGAAGTCACTTGAAATAGCATAAAAACCTTTGGTCGGCGCGTCATTTGTAATTTCACGACGTATCATAGGCGTGCGGTCATTTATTTAGAACGATAATAATAATGTTTTTATATCACAATAAATGGATGTTACTATCTTCTTATTTTTTTGATTTGGGATAAAAAATACTTATATTGGGAGTTTAATTTATGTTGACTGAAAGTTAAGAAATGGAAAAATTACAGAATTCCAACGTTTGGCATAGGCAAATATTTACATAGCAGGTAGGTCTATAAAAAGTTATATAAAGACTTACATTATAGGTATTTATATATCATCCTCGCCTTCGGAGCTGTCGCTAGAGTCATCTTGTAGAGGAATTACAACGGGATTTACAGGAGGCAAAACACAATATTCATTTTCTTTTTCAATAATATGCCTAGAACACTGCTTCCATAGGTCTGTGGCAGCAATATGAGATACTGCATCTCTTATTGTGGCCAATAGCGATTCACTTAATTGAGGGGTCTGATTATGTTTTCTTACTTTTTTTTTAAAGCAGCCCAGACCAACTCAATCGGGTTAAAAATGCAGTAATAGGGAGGTAGACGTAATACTTCATGGCCATTTTGCTGAAACAGATTGTCAACAACATACTCTTTTTCAAATTTTTGTCTTTTAATAAGATCCAATAATATGGCTTTGGTTGATTTTTGTGGTATTTCCATTCCCTTATCCTTCATAAAATCAATAATGTCTTGTGTTTTTGTGCCTGTATTCGGAATTTTGTTTTTCTGTCGGGAATGGTATGGCGCATTGTCCATAATAATCACTGAATTTGGGGAAATGTTTGGTATTAACTGCGGCTCTATCCACTTTTCAAATAAGTCGGAGGTCATGTCCTCATGATAGTCGGCACATGATTCTTTGATATTTTTGGCAGATAACAGCAAGGCCCTACCTAATATAAATCCATTTTCACTGCCAGCATGGAGAATAATGATTCGTTTTCCACGGTTGCATGGTGCATTTAAAATGCACTTGTTGCTGTCGTCAACCCAGCCGTACTGCACAACATCATGGGTATCATACCACGTTTCATCCAGGTAAATCAGATTTCTTTTCTGCTCTCTATAGGTTTTAACTTTGTGCAAAAATTCTTGGCGCAATTCAACGATTCGAGACGACTCCATAATCACCATTCTTTTATCTAATTTTTTGTATTGAAAACCACACAGTTTTACAATACAGTGCAGTGAGTCTAAGCATTTGTAATTATAAAAATCTTCAGGATAATCTTTTAATTTATCCCGTATCATTTCCAACGTGGGCACCAAATTTTCTTTATAAAATCCGTATATTATACGACGAATATCTTCCTGAAAACCCACGTCTATTCTTTTTAAATTTTGCCCTATGCGCTTTCTGTGGATGGAATGGTTGACTACATCTCCCCTTTTTATAACCCGATAAATGGTAGACCGACTGATTTTTGTCAGGATACAAATTCTGTTTAAAATTTGAATTTGCGAGGAATCTGGATTTTCGTTTTTCAGGCAATCATACATATTTAGGATTACTCTTTGGGTCTGTTCCTCTAAATCTTTATGAAAGAATTCTGCCTGCACACGTTCATCAACCATCTCCTCGTGGCTTGGAGCATTTTCCCAAGGTCTACAAAGAGCCATATTTAGGACACACAAGAACAATCAACACAACAATTAAATCAACAAGTAAACAGAGTATTCAAAAGTCAAAAACACACAAACTAATAAAATCTATGAAAAACACGGACAGACTAAAGAAAACGCGTTTATTCACCGCTACACGGCACTGGCTAAACTGTTTCAATTTTCAGTAGCCACCTGCACTTGTTCGGAGCTCTGAAATACACGCTTTCTCATTGGCTATGTCCACGCATAGGCGTGCTTTACTCCACGTGGACCGGTGAAACTGCCTTTGATCTTATACGGGGGATATTTGCTGCGAAATTTGGCGATTTTTGCAGCAACAGAGCGTGTTAAATATAGGTATATAAAACGCACCCGGTATTTCACAGTGTTTCAAGTGACTTGAGATAAAGTATACTTTTTCATTTTTGTTTTCACTGTTTCGCTGGTGTTTTAGGACACACTAGTTTTGTTATTACAGACGTAGTTTCTAAGGAAAGTCTCAACTTTTAGGATACCCTGTATTTTAGGCTAACGTATATTCTCTAATTAAGTGCCTAACTGTATGATCTTTCCCCAAGACTGTGTCACTATTAGTGTATTATACAGGGTGTCCCGAAAAAAGTGTGCAATATTCTACCAGCGGTTTCTAGAGCTTAAAATAGGTAGAAGTTTATATAAACATAGGTCGACAAACGTCCCCTAAGGGCGCTACGGTCTTTTAAAGGGGCTGCCCTGAAGATGGTTTTTCCTCAATATTTCCGAAACGTGTTGAGATAAAGACATAACATTTGGTATTCTAGCCTAGTTTTTTATGCTGGATTTAAAAATATTAACAATTTTAGACAGTTTTGTTTGGAAGCGTGTGTAACAGGGACGGACTCAGGTTATTTTATCCCCAACATTTTTGTGTGATTCTATTTTTGAAATTCAATTTTAGAATTTGAAAATTTAGGGTTTTCTACATAAAAAAGGTACTCTTATTGAAAATCGATAAATTATGCCATTTTTGAATAAAATCAAACTAAAAAATTTGTCACATGATAGGAAATGTACTGCGAATTAAAATGAAAGGCTAGAATACCAAATTTTATGTCTTTATCTCAACACGTTTCGGAAGTATTAAGGAAAAACCATCTTCAGGACAACCCCTTTAAAAGACCGTAGCGCCCTTAGGGGACGTTTGTCAACCTATGTGTATATAAACTTTTCTTCATATTTTAAGCTCTAGAAACCGTTGGTACAATATTGCACACTTTTTTCGGGACACCCTGTATATGTATATTTTCAATCTACTTCTCCAACAGTCTTTTTAGACCTCCCAGTTTTAATTATTTGTAGGTACTGTATTTCGGCGCTTCCCACCAGTAATCGGTCTGTAAACTGTTGGTGGTGTAATTAAGTAAATAAATGTATACCAAATATCAGATCAATCGGTCAACGGAAATGAAGTAAAATTCGAATGAACAAATTTGATGCAAGGCACGCTGAACGAAATCAGATCACTTAACGATTCGGTATTTTCGATGGACTAAAAATTCTCAATTTCTAAAGCGACGCATTCCAATGAAAAGCTCCAAGAGGCAGCTTTTAAGTAAGCATAAGCAAATTAACTTTACGATACTGATACTATTTTTTTACAAAAACCAGTGGCGTGCTCTTTTTTCGCTAAATATGGGTACGAAAGGCAGTAATGTAAGTGCTTTAGAAGGTAATTTTGTACTAGTTTGTGTTACTTCATTCACTGTAGCATTCTGTTCTGACCAGCGCCATTTTTCACGAAATGCCAATCATTGGTCTCCAAAATTGTTTGATTTCTCACATTCTTGAATACATGACTACTATTATATCCCTTATAACCCTATTTAGAGATGTATAATAAGATCCCAACTATATTATAAAGCGCTAATTAACAAGCTGTTTGTAATTACAATGCTCTTTTGGGTATTGTCTTTGTCTGGCTCATTGGTAATGCATGTCTACTACGCATTTATTTTTCGGCTCAGCTGCTTGGTTCACCGACACGCATCTGGTTCCGGGGTGTTTTTTATTTGTAAGGGTGTCACACCCCGGACTAACACTAACACCACCGACTCCCTCACCTGACGTAGGAATATGCATCCGATTCCGGAATCGCTGATAATGAGTGTAAGTGCAGTCATATTAGGAAAAATAAAATTAACTGAAGGTTATTTTTGATAACTATCGTGATCATATACAGGGCACATAACATTTTCTCACTCTCAAAGTTACCTACGATTTTTGACTTTATTCTAAGGTTGTTTATCAGATGATTTTTAAAAACAACCGCGTATTTGTAACCAATGTCGATTTGACGAACCCAGGCGACAGTTTTCACCCCACGACACTCAATATTTTCTCGACTCACAAATCTTACAATATTTTCAGATTTAATAATATCCTAAGTGACATATAAATCCGAACACCCAGTTTTAATGGATTTATTTTAATAAAAGTTGGTGAATGTATTTATCTTACTGTAAACAACAAGTGAAAAAATGTTCAGCCTTATCAGTTGGACATTCCGGTTTTTATACTACTTTTTTTTAATTCTCTAACGCTCTAAAAATGAATATTTCAGCCGCAGTAAAGAATCAACGTTGGCGGATTTTGGTTCTTGACATCCTTTACGATCGGTTACGAT